TTGGTTATCTAATTGCGATTAAACAAATATGTTATAACAACCATTTTTACACTTGGAAAGTTTTATTTGAAGTTTGTCCTACGGTTTCTCTTTAATATTGAACAAATTTTCGCACGAGTATCATGAAAATTATCGTTCGCTTGTGTTTTGAGTACATCATTTACTACAAAAGTTATTTTTAGAAAAAGGATAAACCAATTGATATATTTTTCTCCATTTTATTAGAAATTATCTTTTCTATATTTAATGGATAGAGAGGTCTTTAGTCGCATCCAACACTGCTATTTCAATCTTAATTTTGCTCTCCGTTAAGTTTTGCTTGTCACTAATTAAAGATTTGCACGTGTTCTTTGTTGTAATTGTATCCAAATATTTGACATTTATATGCCTTTATTTTAAATATCATCATTGGTTGGACTTTGTAGAATGCACTTTTTTTAATAATAATAATAATAATACAAAATTAAAGAAAAATGTTCAATAGCTTAATTTTAATTTATTCTTTATGGCAAGTTTTGAATATTATTGTCCCTATAATTTGGTTAAATTTTTTAAAAAAGAATGCATGTGTAATTATTAGATGTAAATAAATGTTTATGCAACACGTTTTCTTTAGATGTGATATAATTAAATTTCCAGGCAAGGAAGAATCAAATTTTGCACGAAACGAAAGAATTGGGTCTTGTTGTATGTCTTCAAAAACTCTACTCTCTAAATGCCACCATTTTAGTGCACAACTTATTTTCTCTTTGCGTAAGAACTACCGAATTTTTCTTTCCTTTTTCCCCTCAATCTAAACTCTAATATCACCACTTATATATAATTCATCTTATACCGAATGTTATTTTATCACCTCTCTCTATCGCATGTAAAAGAAAAATATGTCAGATAAGAAAATATTTTGGCAACAATAATGATTTTCGAGATTTAACTAAATCACGTGAAGTACAACCAACCATTCGTAACTAGTAAGAACTAAAATGCAATTAAAATGAGGAAAAAAAAAAGAATTGCAAAGGTTTTATGCAATTTTGGAGAATGGAATGCCTAGAAAAAGGTGAAGGTTTGATGCAATTTTCATAAAAAGAAATGCCAAATGGTCAAAAAAGTGGAAGGACATAGGCCATAGTCTTCATCATAAAGTTCCACTCTCATTCTTCTTTTTTCTTATTTTCCAACACTTTCCATCTAACTCCATTCTTTTCTTTCCATTTTTTAAAAATATTTTCTTCTTTTTCAAGAATATTTTAGATGCTTGTAAATGGAAATCAACATATTTGGATCATTTTCAAAAATAACTTTCAAAACAAAATCCAGATCCAAAAACAAAAACAATATTTTATTGTTTTCAAAAGTAAAAGCAAGAAAAAGAGGCCAAAGCCTAAACAAGAAACAAAGCTACCCATAAAATATATTCAAAACTATCATCCAAAGAATATATTCAAAACTATTACGAGGAAAATCCATATCATCCAAATCAGAGATGGGTAAAGGAGCTCAAAATTATTATCCACTCAAGAAACAAATAACGGTCGTTTGGCAACGTTTCCATTCCTTGTTTCATATTTCCTCTTTTTAATAAAGAAAAATAGAATTGCATGATATTTACAATAACAATGTCTACATCATTTTTTTTCTTTCAGTTAACACATTTATGTTTTTGAACAAATTAGAAACGAGAATAAACAACAAGAAATTTAATTTTATTGTTTCTAACCTTTCTATACAATCTTGAGAATATTTCTAAAAAGTGAAAAACAAGGAACATAGACAACTATCAAAGGCTTAAGTTCGATCTTAATAAACTCGAAAATAAGAAACAAGAAACAGGAACGTCGTTACCCAATAGACCTTATAAAACACAACAATAAAATATATATTTGAACTAACATTAAAATATGGAAATTTGATGATAGTTTTGTTGTGGTCTGTGCATGGAAAAAATAAAGTGTTGGGTAATATTGCTTTATGGTAGCAAAATGGCAATGATTGAAAGAGAAATATTCCTCAATCATGTTGGAGAGTTGATGGAGAAAGCTAAGGACTAACCCCACAAAATAATGAGCTTTGTCCATCACCCAACAACTTCATTCATTTCTTCTTCTAACTCATTTATGTCTTCTCCCATATAACATCAATTTCAATATCAAAATCTACTCCCTTTTTTTTTCTCTTTTAATCAAATTAGTTTCTCCAATGTATGAAATCACTATTAGTAATTTTCCTTTTCTTTGTTTTCTTTTTCTAATTCCAACTAGATAAATTTTGACAGCGGGTCTAGTTTTCGTATTGAAATTTGAAATTTTAATAAATCAATAAATAACGTTTTCTAAAGAATAAAAAAAAATTTAATTTTGATTGGCTCCACGGTGGAAAAAGGTAAACTTACGAAGGATGTTATTAATATTTTTAACCGATTGAAGTATGTTTAGACCGATTGAAAAAAGCTGTTTGGAAATTAGAAGGATATAAAATACTTGTAACTAATATATAAGATGTCAATTAATAGATTGTGGTGTACTAAAAAATAATAATAAATGGATTATTGTGGTGTTCAATGTTGTAAATATTGTTCCAAAGCATTGAAATATAAAACCTTTCCCTTCTCCCTTCCCTTGGAGTGGACAAAAAATTTCGAAAAACTGATTCAATCCACCCAAAAGTGATTGAACCGATGATTGGTGTCAGTTTTTCCAATGTCAAAAAAGACTCAAAACTAGTGAGTCGTTTGATCAATCTAATAAAAAAGAAGTAGGGAGGAAAGAAGAAGAAAAAGATACAATGATTTTGCATGAAAAACCTCTAAATGAATTAGGGTAAAAACCAGGAGAAAGGAAGAAGAATTCCACTCAATAAAATAGGAGTTACAAACTTTCTTTTTTATGGAGAACAAAGAAACTTTCTCTATCTTTATCTTACCAAACCCCACACTCATACTTTAGCTCACTTTGGAATTGATGATTTTTGGGATGGGTTGCCAAGTATGGGTTCCCACTTATTTATAGCCCAACCCATACTTAGTCGTTATCAAGCAAATTTCTATGGCAACAAAATATGCCACATATTACCCTTGGATAAGATGATGATTTAGTGGCCATAAATTTGCCACATATTGCATTCCAGTAGTGTTTAGTTCAACTATCCAAGGAAAAATCTTATTGAGGTAGATTTGGAAACCACTTAACCTAGTGACTTCTAGCAATCTTGCCAAATTATTATTTAACAATCTCTCACTTCGAGATTTTATTGATAATCAATCATATTTCCACACCATTCTTTCTACCTTGCCACATTTATGTTGCTTATGTTTCTACTAGGCCATTCGAGGATCGACACCAATCGAACTTGTCAGCACTGACTGCCTTTGTTAAGTAGTCTGCTAGGTTATCTTTTGTATGGATTTT